AAAAGAAACCTTGCGATAGATTTACTTTGAAGATGACTGCGATGATCGAAACATCGAGTTCAGTTTATTCGGGACACAACCAGTGTCAAGGATTACGGGATGTTGTTAAAAAAGAACTTATTATACAGTATCATCGAGGACCTCAATAAGCTGACACTTACTAGTATATTTGGATAATCACTTGAAATGCAGGAGATTATCCATACTGGTGTCTGAAAGAAGCTTCTTTTAAGCACGATTGTTTGATGAATAGCTTCAGGAGTGAACCCTACGATCACAAGGACCTAGTGTTCACTCATAACAATCGAGAACCTAAGCCCCGGGACCTAGAGTGGTGAGGCTCATAAGACCATTATTGGTGTTGAATTTAACCGCATAAAAGCAAAGCCGCCTACCACTGAAGTTGGGTGATAGTAACAGGGTTCGAACTTCGAACCTCAGAGCTCGAAGCACCCGGTGACACCAACTAAAATCGTTTGACTACCAACCGATAACTGACTGTTCGTGCATAAGTAAGAGATAGTCAGGCGTATTTTATTCATGCGAAAAAGGATAATGGATAGAAAATCTGCATGACTCCTAAAAGAGTAGAACGCTCATAATACGTCTAGACGGTGTCGAGACCTCGTGAGTTTGAAAAGGGGTAGCATTTACACGAATCAAAAGAGGGAACAATACGACGGTACTCGTATTTGCTACCTCCAGACTGAATTCCTCGCTGGAAACAGATTCGAAACAACATCAGTTCAAAACAACACGGATTGCTGTGTCCATGAGCCAAAGACGATACATGCACCACTTTCGTGAATGTGCCCCACTGGAAACCAGCGGTGCAGATCAAAGGGAGGAGAAACGAGTAAAAGGTATCGGGAGTTTACGTATGTGTAGATACATATTGTCGGTAGATATAGCTGTCTGGGAATACGGAAGCAGCGATTCACGGTTGGAACATAAGTGGTTCCTAAGCGAGATAATTTGACAATAGGCATGCGGCAGTATAGACGCAACAAAGACGCTCGAAGATATCAATCAATGGGCACAAGTGCGTGGTAAGATCCACGTGAACCGGACAAACGTGTGCGCCTAAACTGGTCCGGATCGCATAGAGCGTCGTGCGACAAAATTCGAGGTGGCAACGTAAGAACACGTATCGGACCAAACAGAATTACAGAATAGTATTGCACACACACACACAGACGCACATATATATACACAGACACATATGCGTACGTACATCGTGTGTATACATAACTACCCCGTGGCGCTTGAAATAGATAGGATAAGCTGGTATAGCACACTAAGGAATAGTTTGAGTAGAACGTTTTCGAACGTAGATGTAAAAAAAGATTGATGAGGTTCTATCGAGGAACATACAATATATTTCAGGTGTCTAAAATAAATGTAATTACTTAGGACGACCAACAGGCATAGATGCAAGGTAACGAACCTAGTAATGGACTTTGAACGAAACATAACTTTACGAAATATTTGGCTGTGAGATGGACTTATAGTCCTAATATTCTGTGATGGTTTTCACAGAAGGATTTCCTCTTCAGATGCATTGTCAGCTTCTTCTCAAGTGTACACTTAATTTGACGAGTGCTGTACTAATGAATACAAAACATCGGAAACAAATGAACCAATCTGTGAAATGAGTTCAGTGTACAGATGATGAATAGGAATCGCGCAAATATATGCATCCCGTAAAAACTACAATTCGATTGCAGAATACTGCACAGAGCGGGAAACACCAGAACACTAACAAACCGCGCAACCAGTAAATCGCTCGACCAAACGAACCGTTCCAGAGTCAGCTAACACCTGACGGCGCAGACAGAATGTCGGATCGGTAAATAATGGAGTCAACGTGAGATCAAGATGAAGTAGTTCTTCGTCCAGTTTTCAAAAACACAAACTCAGTAGTTTGTCAAAATCTCGTGAAACCGTAGCACTAGGTCAGCATGACAAGTGAGGGAAATCCATAGGTTGAGGATATTCATTCGGTTAAACCAGTATTACTACTCCTGATCAAGTGTGCTCTGGCAGACAGAATAAATCAACAACTAACAAACGATTGATTTCCACACTAAACAGCAGACCAAGTTTGTTACACCAGCGAAACACGGCATACGAGTCTGGAAACGAAATCACCGTGAAATAGCATAACGAACATATATACACATACGGAAACGAACAGATACATATGGTGCATTTTGGACATCCAACAGTGACTGGAAGCGAGCTGTTTCATATAGGCGTAGGCAGGTGCACATGATGGGTGGAGACGAGAGCACTGGGGGGGAGCGAGCCACTGGCTCTTCTTACCTCGGTTCGATCAATTAACTGAAGAACGATTGTACGGATGGTGCAAATAGTACAAGCCAATAACGAGACTGACAAGACAACATCTATGAATGACAGGTTTGCTGCATTCATAATAGGACTCACCTCTTCTTTAGTGCAATTATCAATCTCTT